AGGGGAAGACCCTCACTGAGGGTTTGAGACCGAAGTTGTTCCTGGGGTGTGGCCACAGTCACATGCTGACAGTTTCTAGGCGCCAAAGGTAGACAAACTACCCCAGAAGGAGCATGACATGTTCCCCACCACTACCCCTCCCCTAATTCCTATGTGCCATTCAGTGTAAACAACATGGACCTAGACGGACCAATGGTCTGACTCAGCAGGAGGCACCTTCCTAGGTTCCTAAAAGAGGAGCATGGGAACCGAAACTGATAATTCTGCTAGCTGACAAGAGCAGAGATAGATAGCTCTGTCTGCCTATCCTGTTTTTGCTTCTGGCATCCTGCCTTGGTTTCGCAACATTCCGGCATTCCACTCACCTCCCTTGGGCATTTTTCTTACTTTGAATAAGTGTGACCTCTTGCATACCTATTCAGCCCAGGTTCAATTCTCCTGCTTGGTGTGAACATAATAATAACTTGCAACTGACATTTGTAGCCAGCATTGCCTGCTTTTGTATCCTTAGCGACTGAATAACTAAAAGGCTCACTGCCCTAGCTGGATAAATGAGACCATTCACTCAACTCCACTGCTTGCTTCCACTGCAGTGAATGCAGAACCCCTTTAAATATGCGCTTGTTTAAACAAACAGATAAGAAAGCCTTTTGAGGTTTTGGAACTCATCAGCGGTTTCTCTCTCTCTCTCTCTCTCACACACACACACACACACACTATTGGATGACTAATCCTTTCAGTGAATCTGAATCCCTTGTCACCTTGGGTGTCTCACTAAAGTGCATTGAAATAAGAAGGAATGTCAATAAGATAGCAAATGGTGCTCAAAAGGTTTCTGGCACATTGTCCCAAGTCATAATCTCCCCATTGTTCCCTTACCATAAGGAAGTCAAGTCGGCTGAATTACACCAGCATATGTGAGACATGGATCTAGGCCTCTGAAGGCCATCGGACCCTCAAGGCTGGTGCCTTTTGTTTGGAAACGTAAAACCCCAGACTACATTTGGTCATCAATGTTCATTTAACTAGATAAGGGTGATTAAGGGTAAGAGGCTTAACTTTCTTCTGAAGATGTCAGTTGCCATTTGGCTACTTGTTTTTTTCCACTTAAGCCGGAAGCACCAGCCTCCCTGTATTGATTAGAACCAAGCTCAAAATACAAAGCAAGCATAATTTCTAAGAAACGTTTGCCCAAAAGTTTCAGTTTAACAGAATCTGATTTCCAGATTGCTACGATGTAGGGACAAAAATAATACAATGGAAGTTTCACAGGATCTGTGTAAAAGAAAACAAGAAGCGGGTCTCATATACCCCTGAAGTTGTACAGGTAGATTTAGACACATCCCTGATTACACTCTGAGGGAGATGAAATTTTCATGGAATTGTAGAGTTAAAAGGGACCACAAGGGTCATCTAGTCCATCCCCTTGCAATGCTGGAATATGTTGCCCAGCATGAGGCTTTAACTCATGACACTGAGATCAAGAGTCTCATGCTCTGTATTTTTGTCCCAGTTTGTAGTATACTATGATTAGGGCAATAGATGTACCCGCCTCAGGCCCAACCCAAACAGAGACACTAATTAGGGAGAGGTTTGTGATATATTTACAACCATTAAACTAAAACCGTGTAATGATTGGTTTTGATACTCTTCCCAAAACTGGTATTGGGAAATGGATGCAGACATTGCCCTTCTAGCTCACACAGTGGAGCAAAAATGTGCAACGATGCAGCCATTCTTATGTTACACACACGTTTTGATATGACGCTGTAAAAACCCCCGATAGAACTGAACTTAGCAAATAACAATATCGCTTCCTTTGGAGGGAACCAATGCCTCTTGATCCCTTTCCTGAATTTGGCCCCAAATGCTTTGAAACTGAGTCAGTGGGTAAAGATTAAATAATAATAAAAAACCCCCATGGAACTGCACGACTCACTAAATCAGTGAGTGAGGTGAAGACAAACAGCTGTCAAAGGGCAGATAACACAATCCTCGCCCTTTAGAAATGGTTACCTTTTACAATGGAGCATTGTCTCCGGCCCCATATATGCCATTGTTTCCTCTGTGGCTTTCTGACATCTAACAAAGGGTCTGATAGTATGAATCCCCCCTCTGCAAGCTGCGAGGAACATGTAAAGTCATGTGGGCGACAGAGCAGCACTAACTCCCCTGGATCAGCCGCATGGGTCACACAAAGCCTGCCCTGGAGGGAAATTTCGAAAAGAGTTGGCAAAAAGCCCAAGCGGTTTGTTTCAATAGTGGTTCAGGGTTTCTTGCTCTTTTTTTAGTGTGGGTTTTTATTGGTTTTTCTATTAATTCCTCCCCCCCAGTAAGGTTCACCAAGGTTTCAGCTTTAAAACCTGTTTTTCATGTTGTGAATCAGGCATGGAGCTAAGATGGCCGCATGCTCTGCTTTGCAAAAGACAGGCCTCTGTTTGAGAAGCGGTCATAAGACACTCCTCTGTCTGAAGGGCTGTGGATGAGGAAGATGGGAGTGCAAGAGCTCTGAAATGGCCCGTCAAAGTTAACACCTGAAAAGCAGGCTGAGCAGGCACATAGACTACTTAAGAAAAGCCAGCAAACTTTTTCAGCAGGAGGCCGGTCCACTGTCCCTTAGACCTTGTGAGGGGCTGGACTATATTTTGGAAAAAAATAATGAACAAATCCCTATGCCCCACAGATAACCCAGAGATGCATTTTAAATAAAGGGACACTCTACTCTACTTAAATAAAGGGACACTTACATTCTACTCATGTAAAAACACACTGATTCCCAGACCGTCCGTGGGCCAGATTTAGAAGCCGATTGGGCCGGATCCGGAACCCAGGCCTTAGTTTGCCTACCCAAGGATTAAGCCAATGGCCCATCTTAGCTAGACTGGAGACTGGGAGCAGTCCCTGGGACCATATGAAACTGGTCCTGAAGGATCTACCCTGCCTCCCAGTACGTTTCCGAGCACAATTCAAAGTGTTGGTGTTAACCTTTAAAGCCCTGAACAGCCTTGGCCCTGTATACCTTGATATAGGGGTGATTGGCTTTTGCTGCCCAACTCCCCACGGGACTGAGTCCCCTAAGTCCATGATCGGTGAGAGATGAATGGATGGAGGCTGGAGTGAAAGCAAGGCAGATCTTTATTTTTCTGTTGCAACAGAGTTCCCTCCCTGCAAACAGGCAAGAGAAACCCAGAACCAAGAAGAAACATCTCTTTTAAGGGTTTGCATTTTGGCGTGGAGAAGCAGCACACCCCCTCTACAAACAGTCAGAAATTACATCACACACAAGGTGGGGTTACTGTGGCTTAGGCAGGCCAAGATGTGATTGCTATCTGCCTACCTGTTCACAGGCAAGGGGGATTAAGAAAGCAGAGGAAAATTTAGATTCTTTAGGAGAGTCAAGATGGCTTTTGGATTGCTCTCCTGTACTATTTTAGACATATGTTTTATATACTTATGTATGTGTGTTTACCTTATGCAATTATCAACATTTATTCTATATTTAAGACCTTATAATTCCTATAACAACCCGAAGGAGCGATTCCACCTCCATTGTCCAGCCCAGACACTGAGATCCAGTTCCGAGGGCCTTCTTGTGGCTCCCTCACTGCAAGATGTGAAGCTATAGGGAACCAGGCAGAAGGCCTTCTCAGTAGCGGCACCCGCCTTGTGAAACACCCTCCCTTCAGATGTCAAACATATAGACAGATGGATAGCTACCATCATTTACTCCCTAGGGGTGGGAGAAGACCAGCAGCACCTCCTATTAGCTAAGAGGTCCCTGTGGAGGTGACATGGGGGGCTGTCAAGGTGATACATTCCTTGGAAGCTGGATCTGCCACCCCGTGGATCTTGCCGCCTGAGAAGGTTGCCTAAGTTTGCCTTATGGGTGGGCCAGTCCTGCCCACACCACTTCCAAATGTGAGCACCAGCCCCAAAAGATTGCTGACCCCCGACCTAATGTCGCCTACCCTAAAAGTCAACAGAAGAACACAACCATTTCTGCAGGCTGCCTGTCAGCCATCTGTTGTACCTCATTCCTTCCCCCAATGCTGCAAATTGTCATCTAAATTACAATAATCATGAATCCATCAATTATTTTCTCAGCTCCAAGATTGTGAAACGGCAACATTTTCACTTTGCTTCAGAAGCAGTGGACTGGATGAGCAACCAGCTCCTCATTCTTTAGTTTGTGAACCCGTCTGGCTCTCCAAATAAACGTGGCATTATCTTAAATTGCACACATTCCAATTCTGTTATTATCTGTCATAATTATTTATTAAGCATGATATGCAGCAGTACGCTCATACTTGTGTTCAGGGAGGTGGTACAACGCAGGCCAAGGCAGCTCGATAAGACACCTACGCACTTCATTTTCTTACTTGCTAATGGGAAATTACTCTGGGATTCTCATTTTGTATTAATATCCAGGGAACATTTAGAAAGAAAAGAAAAGAAAAAACCTACTTGCTGTTTAATTTTTGCTTTCAATTCTTTGATTGCTTCATGCTTGTTTGACTTCGTGGGCAGCAGCTGAACATTTCTTCCAGCTATATACTGGAGTGGGCAGGGAATTGTAATAAAAAGCTCGTTCAGTTTACTCAAAAAGGTGCCTCCAGCTCTATCCTGAACCATATAATTTGGGAAAAAGGAGTGGTAGTTGTGCTTTGCAGGCAAGACCCTGTTAAATTTGGAATTCCAGATAACTGCAGGGTATCTCTGGTTTTAGGCCAGTTAGAGGCAGTCAGAAATTTTTTAATAAGAAGCAAACTTGCTTGGAGGGATGACTCCAGAGAGTTTAGGGGAGCAATGGGCTGGCATAGGTCACCATTAGGGCAGCAAGGATTTCATCCACACAATGGAGGAGCTAAATATACATTGGAACATAGGAAGGAAACTGCCTTATTATACAGAGTCAAACCATTGCTCCATCTAGTTCAGAACTGCCTACAGCGCTACACCAACTGTCCAGAATTTCAGCAGAGAACATTCCCAGCCCTTCCTGGAGATGTCAGAATTTGAACCTGAGACCTTCCACTTGCAAGGCAGATGATCTGCCACTGAGCTACAGTCCTTCTCCAAAATACTGAACAATTGGGGAGTGGGCAGGATAGTGGCAAGTATTTTCGCTACCTGGAGTCATCCTTGATTGTTTGACAGCTTCAAACAGTCCTGCTACATGTAAAGCACACACAACCCTCCCAAAGAATCCTGGGAATTGTAGTTTGTTTAAATGTTCTGGGAGGATTCTTGGGGAAGTTGTGTGTGCTTTAAATGGCCTTGGCCCAGTATACCTGAAGGATATACACCTCCATCGTTCAGCCCGGACACTGAGGTCCAGCTCCGAGGGCCTTCTGGCAGTTCCCTCACTGCACGAAGTGAGGTTGCAAGGAACCAGGCAGAGGGCCTTCTTGGTAGTGGCACCTGCCCTGTGGAACACCCTCCCATTAGATGTCAAAGAGATAAACAAGTACCTGACATTTAGAAGACATCTGAAGGCAGCCCTGTTTAGGGAAGCTTTTAATGTTTGGCGTTTTATCATGTTTTTAAAATTCTGTTGGGAGCTGCCCAGGGTGACTGAGGAGACCCGGCCAGAAGGGCGGGGTATAAATAATAAATTATTATTATGTTATAATTATAATTATTTGCCCTTCCTTGCACACCAGCCCCACTGCTACCTGCTTTGCAGCATCTTGCTCTGCTTCACCCCTGCCCTTCCATCCATGCCCATTCCCAAACAGCTTTCCCTCCCCCCTCCACACACAACACACAGTTTAAAAGGCTATAGGTTTTTTAATTAGCCAAAGGTCTGAGAGAAGAGGAATGTTTTTGCCTGGCACCAAAAGATACCAAATGTAACAAAGGCACCAGGCAAGCCTCCTAGGGGAGAGAATTCCACAGAAAGAGACTCACCATAATAAATTTCCTGTTGGGTCAGATCCAAGGCCTATGTAGCCCAGCTTCCTGACTGTCACAGTGGTTACCTGAAGCACCCTGGGAAGCCCACAAGCCAAGCATGAGGGCAATAAGCCTTTGCTGATGTTGTTCTCCAGCAGAGCCATGCTGTCCCTGAATGTATATAGCCATCATGACTAACAGCCATTGATAACTTTGTCCTCCATGAAATTGCCTAATCCCCCCCCCCTTTAAAGACATCTCAGCTAGCGGCTGTCACCACATATTGTGGCAGCGAATTCCATAGTTCAAATATTCTGTCGTGTTTGACCTGGCTTAGCCTCCACTGAAGTCTGAAACACACACTTACCTGTCTGCAACGGCATCTCCTCGTCAAGCCAGACCTCATGCTGCAGAAAGCCATTGAGGAGGCCGTGGCTTCAGAAGCTGCTGAACTCTCCGCCCAGGAAATCCACAAGGCCATATTTAAAACACTATGTTCACTGGACAAACGACAAACACCAAAGCTGTTTGGTGAATAGGGTCAATTAATATGCTTATGTGCCTTACTGAAACCAATAAGGGTATTGCTGTAATGTAATGGAACCACTATGATTGTAACTAATGCCTTATCTCGGTGGGGAGGGGTGTTATGTATTGAAGTTCTCACCCTGGCCACCAGGAGTATCGTGTATATAGTTTTCACTCAGGTCCACGTCAGTTACTTTAGGCGGGAAACCCTGGGTTGTTGTTGCTACAATGTTGACAGCCGGCTGCCTATAAAAGCAGGCCAGCTGAGCTTTTTTCTGTTCAGTTCTGTTCTGGCCTGTGAATAAACAAGAGCTGTTTGAAGAATTGCTGTGTCGTCTGATATGTTCACCCACAATTTAACACCTTCCTCTTAGCACGTTTCTCCCTTGCGTCCTGAGTTTGAGTGTCTTCAAAGCCCATGACACCTTTGGTAAAGGCTGTTCTCCAATTGGAGCGCTCACAGGAAAGTGTTTCCTAATCGTTGGTGTTTATACTACTTTTTTAAAAAAAATTGCCTTGAGACAGTCTTTAAACCTCTTTTGTTGACCACCAGCATTACGCTTTCCATTTTTGAGTTTGGAATAGAGGAGTTGCTTTGGAAACCTAGACAGCATCTTAAAAAGTAGAGACATCACCTTACCAACAAAGGTCCGTATAGTAAAAACTATGGTTTTCCCAGTAGTGATGTATGGAAGTGAAAGCTGGACCATAAAGAAGGCTGATCGCCAAAGAATTGATGCTTTTGAATTCTGGTGCTGGAGGAGACTCTTGAGAGTTCCATGGACTGCAAGAAGATCAAACCGATCCATTCTTAAGGAAATCAGCCCTGAGTGCTCACTAGAAGGACAGATTGTGAAGTACTTTGGCCACCTCATGAGAAGAGAAGACTCCCTGGAAAAGACCCTGATGTTGTGAAAGATGGAGGGCACAAGGAGAAGGGGACGACAGAGGGCGAGATGGTTGGATAGTGTTCTCAAAGCTACCAGCATGAGTTTGACCAAACTGCGGAGGCAGTGGAAGACAAGAGTGCCTGGTGTGCTCTGGTCCATGGGGTCATGAAGAGTCGGACACGACTAAACAACAACAACAAAGTTGCTTTGGAAGATGGTAATGAGGCATCCACACAACATGACCAGTCTAATGAAGTTGATGTTGAAGAATCATGCTTCAACACTGGTGATCTTTGCTTCTTCCAGTACACTGGTATTAGTTCGCCTGTCTTCCCAAGTGATGTGAAAGAGGAAAGCAAGAGGAACCTTGAAGTTGTTCATCATGAGTTATCACTCGAAGAGAGACTGAAAAGGCACATGGGTCACCGGCTCATAATCTTCCAAACTGTGGTGAGATGTATTGCATTTCTATGTAAATTACAGCAATTCTTTCAAATGTTCATTCCATACGTACAGATTAGCACATGCAAATCATATGCAAATCTGTGACCCCCTTTGCCCTTTGGGTATGATGTGTTTCCCCTTTCTTGGTAATGCGTAAGTGGTCATCCTAGATGGAATACTTTCCCCCATCATAACACTATGAACATGATCTGAATGCCCTTATTTAAAAAGAGAGAAGTGTACTGCTAAATTTTAGCTATATTAGATAATTAAATTCTACCTTTAAAATAAAATAAAATAAAATAAAATAAAATAGGGGGCTTGCAGTCTTTAGGACAGACTCAAGCTTTGCCAACATATGTCCTTCAAAGGAAAAGATAAAAATGAAAATCCTCCTTTCCCTCCTACCTCTATTTACTCGCCCAATTCTTATTTCATAATCTCAGCTACTGGACAGGATTAGCATAACGCATTAGCAGGAAAGCTATGTTAGAATTCTTTAACAGTCCATTATTAAGAACTGCGCGAGGGAAATTACAAGGATAAAAAATGCTTTTATGCACGTTCATCACAAGCACCAGCCCTTTTAAAAGGCAAAGGATAATGACCTCCACAGGCTTAGTTCCTCAAAAGGTTAAAACAACATCCCAATGTGAATTCAGAAATAAACAGATAAATGCTGCGGAAAGGTAATTAACCAGGTGCTTTCTGGGAAGGCTGAAATATTCTCTTCTCTGATAAATGTGGATCAAACCCCCACTCCCATTTTTTCACTCCAACACAGCAGTTGCATCCCTAGACAAATACAATTAATCTACTTTTTTTTGCTCAGTCTGAACTGAAGCCATACTTAATGACTAAAGAAGGGAGGGGGGAGGCCTGTCAAACAGGATTATTCTAAAGGGTGGGTGGGGGGAGAGCTAAGTGGATTTAAAATTGGAACCTGTCATTTGCCTTCTGCGAGTCATTTTGGAACAGCAGAAAACCAGAAAAGCCTTCGAAGAGAAACATAAAATCTAAGATGAATAGAGTGGGGGTGGAAGAACTGTGGAGGAACCAATTGGTATGTTAACTGAAAAAGGTTGGCAGAAAGCTTGGAAGGATGTGACAATGCAATTTTAAAGGTGTTTTTCAGCCGGGTCATGGTGGAAGCCTTAAATGGGTGGTGGGACCATAGAGGTCCTAGATCAGGGACCACATTGGACTACAATTCATGTTGTCCATTAGGAATGCTGACCATTGACATTGCTGGCTGGGGTTGATGGGACTGGAGGTTACCATGTGTTGAGTTTAGTGGCAGCCAGCAGAAAGCCGTGAAAAGGAATGCTTCAAGATGGGAGGGTGGAGCTTCAGCAGCTTTACCCAAAGTCCTATGGATCTCCCTCAACTATCCTTCCTTCCTCCCTGGTCTTCATTGTGGGCAGTGCAAGTTATGGTCATGGCAAAGGGAAAACAAGTCTTGTTACACTGAACTTTTTGCCTGCATAGACAAGCCCAATAGTTCTGATGTAATAGCCATGTCTTGTCCAGCTCACACTTTTGTGATTGCTATGCATGCTGACACTGTCATGCCTAATATGCTCTGCCAAAATTCGTTGCTCTACACAGTAATTTATAAACAAAGGAGGTTAGCTTATCCATTGCTAGCCATTATGGTTATCTATGGCCTCCCATGTCAGAGACAGTATAGCAGTTGCTGGAACTCACAAATGGGGCAAGTGCTATTGCTTGCATTCATGTCCTCATCTGTCCGGCCCCTGTAAGAACAGGTTGCATGATTAGATGGACCTTAGGTCTGATCCATAGGGACACGGGTGGCGCTGTGGGTTAAACCACAGAGCCTAGGACTTGCCAATCAGAAGGTCGGCGATTTGAATCCCCACGACGGGGTGAGCTCCTGTTGCTCGGTCCCTGCTTCTGCCAACCTAGCAGCTTGAAAGCATGTCAAAGTGCAAGTAGATAAATAGGTACCGCTCTGGTGGGAAGGTAAACAGTGTTTCCGTGCGCTGCTCTGGTTCACCAGAAGCGGCTTAGTCATGCTGGCCACATGACCTGGAAGCTGTACGCCGGCTCCCTTGGGCAATAAAGCAAGATGAGCACCGCAACCCCAGAGTCGGCCACGACTGGACCTAATGGTCAGGGGTCCCTTTACCCTTTACCTAGGTCTGATCCAGAAGGGCTCTTCTTAACGTTCTTTGGATTTTTCCAAAAGTTTACAAATTAGTCAAATTAGTCACCAAGACTTTATTGCTTTTTAAAGGATTCTCTCTCCCTCTCTCTCTGTGTGTCTGATCTTTTGACTGATTTACACACACACACA